TATTTAGAAGTTCGCCCTCTAGTGGCGTACAGCAAAACATGTTGTTGCACATATTATTTTAAATAAATAAATACATATGCATAAAATGCTTTGTTTGTTTGTTTTGAATTTCGCACAAAGCTACACGAGGGCTATCTTCACTAGCCATCCTTAATTTAGCAGTGAAAGACCAGAGGGAAGGCAGCTAGTCATCACCACCCATGCCAACTCTTGGGCTATTCTTTTACCAACGAATAGTGGGATTGACCGTCACATAATAACGCCCACACGGCTGAAAGGGGGCGGGCATATTTGGTTGAAAGTGGATTTGAACCCGCGACTCTCAGTTTGCGAGTAGTTATTTTTGTTTGAAGTTAAGCACAAAGCTACACAGTGGGCTATCTGTGCTCTTCCCACCACGGGTATCAAAACCCGGTTTCCAGCGTTGTAAATCCGCAAACAATGGAGGGTTAAAAGGCTTTCTAACAGCATATAAATAAAACGTTGTATTCCGGTGTTGTTACAAAAAATTAAAAAGTTTAATACTCTTATTACATAACATAAAAATACTGATGTTTAGAAACTAAATGTACAATTCCACAGAACCTTTTTTTTCAGAAGTTTTACACTTCTACAATAAATTACGGATTGTTTATGCAAAACAATTATAATTTCCTAAGGCAGCATACAGAAAGCAAATTTTGCCTTTATGTTAAAATCAACAAATCTCTCTTCATTTAATGTATATTCGATTTGACATTATTATTATTCACATAAATTACAAAGTCCAGAATATTCAATACATCAACACTGATCAAGTCTTTAATAATCATATATTTATATTCCTGGAAAAAAAATCATTTATGGGTCACTTTTTTCTTCTTTACCTTTGAACGTTGTGTTCCTTTAAAAATTTGTCTTTTTCTTCAGGGTCCTCCATTTCAGTCACTTTCAGTTCAAAAGATCCACTAAAAGGAATCACTGCAGCTCCAGGGTCATGGGCATCCACCCATTCCTTGATCTTCAACAACCTGCAGTAGTCGTGATAAAAACACATCCTCAGTTTAAGAGTATTGTTGTTTAATGTAACGATACAAACTGTGAATCAATGTCATAACCTGTTTCTCTAGATTGTTTGTTGTTTAATGTAACGATACAAACTGTGAATCAATGTCATAACCTGTTTCTCTAGATTGTCTGTTATTTAATGTAACAATACAAACTGTGAATCAATGTCATATCTTGTTTCTCTAGATTGTTTGTTGTTTAATGTAACGATACAAACTGTGAATCAATGTCATAACCTGTTTCTCTAGATTGTTTGTTGTTTAATGTAACATACAAACTGTGAATCAATGTCATAACCTGTTTCTCTGGATTGTTTGTTATTTAATGTAACAATACAAACTGTGAATCAATGTCATATCTTGTTTCTCTAGATTGTCTGTTGTTTATTGTAACGATACAAACTGTGAATCAATGCCATATCTTGTTTCGCTAGATTGTCTGTTATTTAATGTAACAATACAAACTGTGAATCAATGTCATATCTTGTTTCTCTATATTGTTTGTTGTTTAATGTAACAATACAAACTGTGAATCAATGCCATAGCTTGTTTCTCTAGATTGTTTGTTGTTTAATGTAACAATATAAACTGTGAATCAATGCCATAGCTTGTTTCTCTGGATTGTTTGTTGTTTAATGTAACGATACAAACTGTGAATCAATGTCATAGCTTGTTTCTCTAGATTTTCTGTTGTTTAATGTAACGATACAAACTGTGAATCAATGCCATAGCTTGTTTCTCTAGATTGTTTGTTGTTTAATGTAACGATACAAGCTTGTTTCCTATTGTTTTAAGAATTTCACTAGGGCAATCTTTGTTAGCTCTTGAGTACAGAATTTCCTAATTTTGAACTGACAGTTTTACAGTGAAGGCAACTACAGACAACTCTTGTTTGAGCAAATGGTGGATCTAGAGAACCACGCTTATAGCAAAATGCGTGTAGCGTGTTTTTTACAGCTACGGGGCATGAACCTGGTATTCACAGATTAATAATTAGGCACCAAAGAACGATCTAGATTTTCTTTTGTCTAGGACGTGAACCACGAATCATCAGATCCACTGGGCCACGCCTGGCCTGTAATCATGTGTTATTGTTCAGTTTCCTGTGGTTATCTTAAATACCAATATATAAATTTTTGCATAAAGCAAAATTTTCGTACATGAAACTTATGTTAAAATAATATCCATAATTATTATTTGTTGCTAGGTGACATGTACTGGCGAAGCATGATTAACGTCATTATTTTCAGTCTGCAAATGATAACTTAAGCAACTGAAACAAAAGTAAATGTAGTTAATCACTTTTATCACTACTTTTAAAGGCAATCATATAAACGTAACCTTAAAGAGCGCCACCTATAGTAATTTTTGTTTACAAAGTGTCCCACATGTTTTTTATACACCTGTACCGAATGAAATAAGCAATAGGCTGTATGATTCACCCAAGTCTTACACGTTTATACAAAACTTGCTTTGTTCCCTATACATTGAGAATGAGGATTACTTGTGTACTTTTACATTTTAATATCAACTGTGTGAATTGATGGAGAGAAAAAGCACTCTTTATTGCACGGGGGAATAATTATTAGTCGTTTCACTTATGTGTATCCCATACATGAAAATAACAAACTTTTCTCATAAGTTTTCTGAATATTTTGGAGGGGGGGGGGGGGTAATAGGTATTTGGATCGAATGTAAGCTAATTCATAGCAGTGTCGTTTTGTACATAATCACACTCGTGCCGCGCCTATGTAGACTTCCTTTTTTGTTACCTGACGGGTGCGGTTACAAATGTTGCAATTACTGAGATCTATTATAGTAAGGAAATCCTGCCAGGCACTTATGACATTAGTTAAACAGAGAGAGAGACAAAGAGATGCAACGACTATCTTCAACACTTTTCTGTTGCATCTACCATCCTGACAATCACGTGATCCACGTGCAAAAAAAGAAAGAGCCAATTCATGGTTTGGTAGATGTAGTGTTGGTGATATCACAGGAGTGTTAGCAGCTTGGTAACTAATCACACTCTTCCTAATTGAGATGATCACTTGGTGGAATGTTACTGTAAATTATAGGTTTGGAAAGTCTAAAATGTGTAATCTAATCAGTAAAGCAGGATGTAAAAAGTCAAACATACCATTCTTGTTATACTTGGTACAAAACTCACAGCACTCTTCCTAATTGAGATGATCACTTGGTGGAATGTTACTGTAAGTAATAGGTTTGGAAAGTCTAAAATGTGTTATCTAATCAGTAAAGCAGGATGTAATTGAGATGATCACTTGGTGGAATGTTACTGTAAATTATAGGTTTGGTAGATGTAGTGTTGGTGATATCACGGGAGTGTTAGCAGCTTGGTAACTAATCACACTCTTCCTAATTGAGATGATCACTTGGTGGAATGTTACTGTAAATTATAGGTTTGGAAAGTCTAAAATGTGTAATCTAATCAGTAAAGCAGGATGTAAAAAGTCAAACATACCATTCTTGTTATACTTGGTACAAAACTCACAGCATTTTTACTAGTAATAGTTCGTACGGACAGTTAAAGCAATTTTATGAGTGATAATTAGATGATACAGACACAAGAGTTACAAGTAATAGTTGGTACAGATACATAGCAGGCTGGTGAGTAACAGCTGTTACAAACACAACAGTTATGAGTAACAGCTGGTACAGATACAACAGTTATGAGTAACAGCTGGTACAGACGCAACAGTTATGAGCAACAGCTGGTACAGATACAACAGTTATGAGTAACAGCTGGTACAAACAAAACAGTTATGAGAAATAGTTAGATGACAGGAACAGTACAGTTACCAGTACTAATTGGTATACTGACAGTTCACAGTAGTTTTATGAGTAATAGATGATAGAGACACTACAGTTACCAGTAATAATTGGTACCAACAGTTCTCAGCAGTTTTATGAGTAATAGTTAGATGATAGAGACACTATAGTTACCAGTAATAATATAATTGGTACTAACAGTTCACCGCAGTTGTACGAGTAATAGTTAGATGACAGACACTACAGTTACCAGTAATAATTGTACCAACAGTTCACAGCAGTTTTATGACTAACAGTTAGATGATAGAGACACTACAGTTACCAGTAATAATTGTACCAACAGTTCACAGTAGTTTTATGAGTAATAGTTAGATGACAGAGACACTACAGTTACCAGTACTAATTGTACCAACAGTTCACAGTAGTTTTATGACTAATAGTTAGATGACAGAGACACTACAGTTACCAGTACTAATTGTACCAA